AAATTAAATTTAGTACTTGAGGTTGCGCAAAAACATATTTTATTGGCAAGCGATTAAGAAAACGTGTTTACGACCACAGATTAATGCAAACAGAATTTGATGTTGGTGATTTAGTTTGGTTGTATAACACCAAAGTTAAGCCAGGTGTAAGTGCACAATTATCAAGACAATTAGTAAGATTGACCAAAGTGAGTGTGGTAGGAGCCAATATTGTTCCTCTTACAGGGTTAACTGCTCAGAAACTAAAGTGAGTAATATGAAGTGAATAAAAAAGTGAAATTAAATGTTTTTGAAAAGACTGAGTGTATAGTAGGAAAGTTACATTTGGTAAAGGGTTACTGTGCTCAAGATGTGTTTGTTGTTTTGGTGATTTTTTTTTAAGCACATAAACATGTATGATATAAACTGACAATAAATCAAACGTTTTCAAGTATAAAGTCTTTAAAAGATAAACATTTGTCGCGAATCATAAATTCTGTCATAGTAAATAACTATTGTTGTAAATATTTTGTTTATTAAGAGATAGTGTATAGTTTAATGTGTTAGTGAATCAACTTAAGTACTTTTAGCTTGGTTCACCTTTAGAAGTTTAAATGAACACATGTATTTTTTTTGTTTGTTTTTTTTTACGTGTATTGTTGTTAAATTTAAATTTGAGAGAGAAAATGTTTGTGACTTTAATGCTCACATGTTAAGTATTTTTGAGGAAATTATTCATTTTGAAAAATAACCTCACTGTTCCTAATTATATCAAGTTCATATAGTTTAAAATATTGTAAATATTTTTTTCTATTTTTTATGACAATTTTAATTACAGTTATAGAAGTTAAATTAAATGGCTTAAGTATCTTACTTGAAGTTTGTCTTCAGGTCTTACTTGATGACAAGTGAAGTCTTTAAGCTAATATTTTGAATTTGGTAAAATGTAATTGTTTTGTTATTGTACTTGTTCTTCTAAAGAATTTTAAAACTGATATAATGTTTTGGGGACCAAAACTTAGATAGTGGGGGGCAATGTAACGATCGCACCTCAATGTAAAATTAATATTTACATTACCCCACCCACTTTCTTTTCCTTAGAAATATTGATATGTATTTTAAATGTACTATGTATAATATTGTAGTACTATAAAAACTGTTCATGATGTATTTGTAATATGTGTTGACAGTTCATGTTGTTTTCAGGAAATAAATTACTGTGCACCCTAATCTACGCTTTAAAAGTGACGTATTTTTACGCTTGAATTCGCCGCTATTTATTTCAGCAGATAATCGTGTCTTATTCATATATTCTTAAATGGTAATAAAAATTATTGATAAATATCAATAATATAACTGTTATTTTCACAAAGTGTACCTTTCAAAACATTCAAAGTGCTTTTATAAGTTCAAAATCCAGAGAAGAATAGTGATTTTTGAGTTACTTCCTGGTTTATGTCCGCCATTACATTTCCTACTACGTCATCGCTGATGACGTCACATCTGACGAAATTTTCATATAAATACAGCGGCATTGTTATTTTTGTCGGAATACCATTGACGAGGGTATTCCGTGTGTCGCTCACCAACGAGAAAATAAATTCTATTGGTAAAATAACTATGGGCACAGAAGAGGTAAAGTTCCCTAAATCAACAAAATAAATAAAAATGTGGTAATTCCTAAGTGTCTCCATCTCCAGTGTTTCAAAGTGTTTAAGTCTTGTGTTTACCAATAAAACCATTCTTAGTGTAAAGTTCGTTAAATTTACCTTGTCAGTTGGTGAAAATTATAAACCATTGAACCAACGTGTATTTTTCATAACTAATCTCTATCTTGTGTATATTTCAAGTGCTAATTTATTAATGTGTACAATTGGTCAAAGATGTTGATAAACTGTGACGAGGATTGTCGAAGTTGCTAACATTTACCAACTGGTAAAATTCGCCAAATGGTAAAAGCTACAAAATGGTAAATCTTACGGCGTAGTCTAACTAAAATTGTTACTAGTTTCTTTGTGGTATGAAACCACTAAATTGGTGAATATAATATTTAAGTGTATTTGTTTCTCGGTGATAAAATATTAAAGTGAACTTCCCTAGAAGACTCCTACATTAAAATTGATACAGATATCTTAGGATTTGTGCTCGTAAAGAATTCGTTCTATTTATTCAGATGAATTAAAAGAATTAGGGTGCAAAATATTACTATTTGTCGTAAATACAAATAAACATTTTTTAATAACTATATGATGTTATATTATTAGCTGTTCGTTATAACGATTTAATTCCTTTAATAAAGTTAATCGTTAAACTTTATATTGCCTCCGTTTTTCCTTGTCAGACAGGCAGTAAATATCAATTTACCAAAAAGCCGGGCCCAGGCGAACTCATGTAGTTTGCCCCCATGTGTTCTTTGTAACTCTTATAAATTATCGCTACCTAAACAGGGGGGTAACGCTACAGTGCCAATATAAACTGCCAGTGTTAAATCGTCTGCATTAAGTTTACACTGAGGCGTTTAACCGAGGAAATATTTAAAACGATAATATTTATTTAAGGCAGCAGAAGTTGTCCCCCCTTAATTTTTAAACGAAAACAAATTATTACAGAACTGCCGCGATTGATTATAAAGGGATTGGCAATACAAATAATCGAACTATCTTTCACCTCTAGATCGTAGCCAAGCTAGGAATTGCCTCATTTTTCCTGATTATTAACTACACTAAAATGGCGCCCAACTGTCAGGTTGATACGGAACATTCCGTTAATTTCCTTCAACTCACGTAACCAGTACCATACGGTACTAAATTATTATAATTAGCTTACAGTTACCTCCCTTCGGTTTTCAGTGTAAATGTAAACAAAACAAATAAATATAATGCGGGATGGAAGTTTTACGGTTTTATTAACTATTTTTATAGATGCGCGATTTTCACGCACATGATTTTATATTGTGCGCGATCTGTTAAATACTAGCGTGAATCGCGCAATCGCGCGTCCTAGAATAGACACTGCCTTAAAAATCAAAAGGGGTCATCTACTAGTCATACCAAATATGAAGACCGTTGACCAAAGTATTCTTATTAAAGCAATTGAGCTGACAAGTTATTTTTGTCAAGGCCCCTGTGACCTTGACCTTTGACTTCAAAATCAATAGGGGTCACCTAATGGTCATGATCAACCTCCATACCAAATATGAAGACTGTGGGTCAAAGGAATCTTAAGTTATTGGGCGGTCAAACTTCCTTGTGACCCTGACCTTTGACCCAGTGACCTAAAAATCAATAGGGGTCATCTAATTATCACGACTAACCTCCATGCAAACTATGAAGACAGTGGGTCTTATTGGACGGACAAGCTTTTTTAGTCAAGGCCCTTGTGACCTTGACCTTTGACCTGGTGACCTCAAAATAAAAAGTGATCATCTACTAATCATGACCAATCTAAATACCAAATATTAAGACTGTAGGTCAAAGGAACCTTAGTTATTTGGCAGACAAGGAAAAACCAACGACTGGACGGACGCATGGGGTGACGGCGCGACAGACAAGCTGATTCTAGTATACCTCCCTTACAACTTCATTGTGCAGGGGTATAATTACTGCTCAATCACCATAATGTCAATATTTTGAAAAAGCTTCAATTTCTTCTCATCCTGCATGCTTTGCTACTCTCCCTGTATTTTTGCCTCAATTTTAAAGATAAACTTCCCCAATGCAATAGTACCTCGCCGATGCAAAAGACCGCTAAAATTTCTCATACATAAATTTAACTAACCAAAACTGGAAACAAAGCTTGGGTTTTAGGTTATGTATAAATTACGCACTTTATAGGGCATTGTCTGACACATTCCAGTCACACCCGTATCCAATTAACAATACGTATCCAATTAACAATACGTATCCAATTAACAATACGTATCCAATTAACAATACGTATCCAATTAACAATACGTATCCAATTAACAATACGTTCAGAGCTTTATACAGTGCGAATCAAAATTATACATATCCAAAAACACAAGCTTTGTTTCTGGTTTTCTATTGTTAAATGTAAAAAAAATGTAAAAAAACAATTTTAAGAATTCTAGCTTTCTATAACATCAGCAAATTTCCACTTGTCCTGCCAGACTAGCATACAATGTACAACAATTTTGTAGAGCTGTCATCGATATCGACAATATCGATGTATCGTTGATATTTTTTTGTCGATCAATAATCGATACACATTTTAAAAAATCGATACTTTTGACTTATAAATTAAATGTCTAGAAATTATACAAATCACCCAAAATATATGCAGAAACAATTATTTATATCAAATGTGATGCTTTTGTTATATAGTGGAATTATTTCATAGCAATGGTGACAAAAAATATTGTCTAGAAAAAATCATGCAGTGGACAAGACGCTGTACAGAACATGTTTTTGACTGAAATCATTGAAACAGGTATGAAAATGAATGACAGACAAGTGAGTATAGGATATTATCGATATATCAGTGTATCGTTGATTTTAGTTACTTGATATCGATATATCGTTGATATGCTTTGCACTGAATCAATGACAGCTCTACAATTTTGTACTCATCCTGCCTCGAAGTCTACTGGTAATTATGAGAGGACGAGTGCAATTTTCCAACCCTGTATAGTCTTTGAAAGATAATCAAAGGGTCCCCTATTCGAGTCAAAACCTGCTAAAATATTACTCTCAACCTTTGACATCTCATTATCACATTCGGGCTTATATTTACATAAAAATATACAGATAAAGTTATATCATGGGCCTTTGGGGAAATAGTAAGGGCTAAAATGCCCTGTAACTAACAAGAGTACTTGTACAATATTGAGAATTAATGTCACGAAACCTGCAGTGAGGGCTATAATATTCAAAATCCCTGGGTTCAGAGGCAGAATTTACCTTGACAATCTCTAAAATTTGAAATGGACATCATGGAAGTAATTAACTTAATTATGGTGCGTGTATCATGAATGCCCAATGAGTGATTTCTTATATTCTTACCTCATTTTTCCTTACCTGCATAGGTGTAGCATAGAAAGTCTGAGTCTTGTTTCGTTTTGATTTCAGGAAATCGTGGAAAGGGTGTTCACCCTTGTCCTCACATTTTTGACATAAATTGTAATTGTCACAAATAGTACATGTAAAAATATTGTTTCTTCCGATAACCGCTCCACAAATGTCACAAATGATCATGGTTTAAATGTGGTTACCTGTGAAATTTTAAAAATAAATATTTTAATATAAAAAACTTTTTAAAATGTAAATATAATGTACAATATTTAATAGGGCTGTGCATTTTTTTCTGTCACGATACATATCACGATAATATTTGTTTTTCAAAACGCTGCGATTCACGATATGTATAATTTGCATACTTTGAAGAAATGCGATGCATATTGCGATTCTTATGTTGCGATGCGATACGTATCACGATAATGTCTTTCAGACTTAGTATATAAATTTGATCTTTTAACAATTTACTTTTCTGATTACTTGAGGATTAAAGGGATTTTTAATTATACCAATTAACAGCAAATTGATATCTACTAGCTATTATAACACTTTATTACATGCTTTTCGGTGGTTTATAGAAATATATCAGTGATATAAAACTGGTAATTTCACTGTTTAAAATTTTAGCCCCTTACGTTGTTTCAGTGAAATACCAGCATGCACAGTACTAGGTACCAACTTAATGACGTGACGTCATTTACGTTATATTATTATTTGTAGGGTTTCTTAATCAGACAAAAATCATAATCGATCATCGAAAATAATCGAACAACCCTTTTCGATCAATCATCGATTATATAATCGAAACATTTACAATAACAAAGTAAATATGTACAATGCAGGGTTTTCATTAAGAGGCGGCCGGCGGCCAAATTGGCCGCCTAGAACACGTTTTGGGCCGGCTAGAAATCCCGTAGATACCATAAATGAATACTTGGAAACTGCTTTGGGGGCTCGAAAGTTTACGATTCGCTCCTTTCGGTAATTTTATGCATTTCCGCTAATTGCGGTTCACTTCCTTGGCGGCACTTAAACATCCAATATGGCGACCAAAAAACGAAAAATAGATCGCAAAATCGACGATTTTTTTAATTTTCAACCGAAATCAAGTAAGTTTTCTAAAGAATTATATCGATTTGCTTTTCATGTTAAAATATCTTTCGCAGTTTCAATTGTTTACCGTTGACAAATGTTTATTCTTTAGTAAAATTACATTTCGTAAAGCGTTAACTCGGCCCTGTACAAACTCGGCCCTCTAATAACAACATATCAATAATACGACGGATCCTTGTATAAAATTACAAACAAAATTATTCCCTTGAAATTTAAGTGAAGACAACAAATATTATCATAGCATTATCTTTATCTTAAATTGCAAGTATAATGAACCTACATAGCTGGCTAAGTCGTATTATTTTATAAATATTTTCATTTTCTATATTTTATGACTTAGTCATGTTATTTTATAATTATAAATTCATCTTCTCATTATAATATAATCTAAATTTATACAAAGAAAAATGAGTATTGCTATATATTTGGTTGTATTTGGGTATTTCGTGCTGCCACAAGAAAAAAATTGTAAAAACCTATCTGAAATAAACAAAACGTACGTTTAGCCTTTCTGTGCCAATTTACATACTTTCATCAATAACTCGAGGTTGTGTTAGTTTGAGGGCCCAGTTGACACATATTTTTTGTATTTTGTATATGTTGAATTTTATTTTTAAAAAAAATATTTAAACAGTTTTGTTCACAATTGTTGTTAACTTTATATATTTCCATGTTACAGTTCAATCTCAACACGCATTTATATGATAGCTGGATTAAAAAGGGTGAGTCCAAGTAGTATAATTTTCCCTGCCGTATAAAGTTTATTAGAGGATTATGAAAGTATTAATTACAGAACAAACATTTTACATGCAAGGCGCCTTGTGAATAAAGCATTGAATCAACATAAATGATTGGTCATTGTATAGTCATGATATTTCAGAAATAAAAAAACAATCTGATTCATTGTGGTAGAAGTTTTGGCAGCCAAAGTAGTGACAAACTGTGAATATGATAAGAATATGACTGAGTATTCCTGGTGATAAACTGCATTAACATTTTTAGACTGTGTAATTCTACAATAATATAAAAAATTAAAGTCTTGTCCGTCTGCTTGCAAAAAAATACCAAAACTGATTATTTTCTGCACTTGTTATATCAATTTAACATTATAAGTCATTATACTAAATGTAAGCATATATGCTATAATATTAAAAAAAACAACTTTAAATACTGCATACAGTTTGATGAAATATGACAAACTGAACAAATACAAAAATTCAACACAAAGTTCATTGTTTCAAAATATATTTTTAGATTCCACTCAAGATGTTCCGCCTAGCAACCAGCTGCACTCCCAGTCAGCAAAAGTTACAGTTAATATAGTCAAGAAGTCTTCGCAAGTATGATGTCGACTCTTTGAATTGATGATGTTTGACTATGAAATTTGATGATGTTTCACTATGAAATTTGATGATGTGTGACTATGAAAAATGATGATGTTTTGTTTATTTAAATTGATGATGTCTTGCTGTGAAATTTGATGATGTTTTACTATGAAATTTGATGATTTTTGACTATGAAATTTGATGATGTTTAACTATGAAATTTGATTAAGTTTGACTATGAAAATTGATGATGTTTTGTTAAATTGATAATGTTTTCCTATGAAATTTGATGAAGTTTGGCTATGAAATTGGATATGTTTTACTATGAAAAATGATGATGTTTTACTATGAAAATTGATAATGTTTTGCTTTGAAAATTGATGATGTTTAACTATGTGAAAGTTGTAGTGATGAAGTTTTGCTATGAAAATTGATGATACTTTGCTTTAAAGATTTATGATGAAAAATTATGATGCTTTACTATTTGAAGTGATGATGCTTTACTATTTGAAGTGATGATGCTTTACTATTTGAAGTGATGATGTTTGACTATGAAATATGAAGTTTGAAATGATGCTGCTTGACTTTGAACAATGTTAAAATGTGATCATGTGAGAGTATGTAAAATGATGATTGTTGGCTATGAAAAGTGTTTATGTTTGGCTTTGAAAATTGATGATGTTGATTATAAATAATGATGATCAAGTTTATCTTGGCTTGTTGTTTATTAACTTTCTACAGTTATAATTTGCAAATAGGTGTAACGGTTTAGCTCAAATGAAAAATATTATTGTTAAAAGCTGTGTCTAGTGAGTGACACAACTAACAATTATGAAGTGCATATTTCAGTGCACCTGCTTCAAGCTTTTCCAGTAGTTTCCATAGTGTTTTTTTTTTCAAAAAATGATGCTAAACCAGAGTGGCTAAAGTAGCCCTGAAAGTGCTCAGAATGCAGGATTTTGCTTCCTGGATTTCAAAATTTTTCGGGGGGGCATGCCCCCGGACCCCCCTATCAGGCCTCCTTCAATCACATTCTGGCCTCTTACACAAAATCTTAATGAAAACCCTGACAATGTACATATCATGCTTTAATATTTATAAGAATTCCATTCATATTCTACATTTTGTGTAACTACCACTTAATCAACTGAAATAAACTTGTTACTCATGCTTATAATGTTCATCCTTGAGTAAAATATTTTAATCAAATGAATTCATTAAATCTATGAAATTATTATGTCTCAATTCCAATAAAGGAATGAATAAACTATGTATAGGAACAAGAGAAGCTGATTATTTCTTAACAAAACTGCCAGGTTTTTTTTAATGACACTATATATTGATATTGTATAACCATCTTTAGTGTGTAGAATAATTTTATACAATACATATCTTCTTTGTTTCAAGTCAAAACATGTTTATTTCATATTTACAAATAGACTGTGTAGAAATTTTCTAATGTCAAATTTGAGCATAGTATGTCTTTAAACTAGAATGCCTCACTGTCAACTATTAACCTTGTGGTCACCAGTATGCTTTCTCATTCATTTTAATGAAAATTATTGGGTCAACCATAGCTGGCTTTAATTTAAAGTGTAGTTATAATACAGTGAGTCACTTAAGTAACAGCAAGAAGATAAATTACCGATAATCGATTATTGAACTTTGTATTCGATCATCGCCGATCGGTCCTATAAACGATCAATTATCGATTATTCTCGATCATTGTTTAATCCCTAATTATTTGGCACGCTTTTCATTCAGTATTAGGTTTAATGTCTTTTTAAAACGTTTCTTTGCATATAATAAAAAGAAAATTTGTTTAGTTTAGTGCAAGATCAAAATATATTTTACCTTGTGAACACTAAAAGTTCATATTTCATATACCTTTTGGTGCTCACTCGGTGAAATATATTCCGATCTTACACTGAACTAAACAAATATCCTCTTTAAAGTCCACTACTGTAAACAAGGCAGTTAACAATTTCAGTCTTACAATACACCACTAAAGATTTTTCTTGTGAAAAAATAGTAACACGTGATCTACAATTAGATCAACAACTGTGAAAATGACAGTTTATAAGTTTCAGTCTCAGTTTTCTCGAAAGATTTGTGCTCAACCCAAGAGTATTTTATTTTGAGTTTGCAAATTTTGCAAACACTCCACGTCCGGTCTTCCATAATTTATACAACACTGTCTGAATTGGTTCCCCAAAAACTACAATGTTCCCAAAACTCGTGAATTATATGACCAGGGAGGACTGTAATTTCCCCTTCTACATATTTTGCAGTCTTCATGTTTTCTGTTTGTTTGTTTTGTTGTTTTTTACGGGAAAATGATGTCAACGGAAATGAAATTATAAATACGTGACGAATATCACATGGAGATGTTGTCATCATCACTATTTTAATCCGACATTAAGTGCGACTAAATAAAATTATAAATTCATGTTTGTAGGTTGTTTTTTTCTTGAAATCGCACAGATCTCTAATAATTTTTTTTATTGTAAACAAGTTCAAAGAACACCAGCCCATTTACATGGAATTGATAAAACTTGGTTAGTAAATTAAACCGTTCAATGATTGAGGACATGGGGAAACGAGATGACAACGATGGTATGATAACAGTCCAATGTTTAATGTTTTCATCCGAGCTATTTTTCTTTCTTCAGTCTTTCAAAAAATACGTTTGTCCTTATATTCCTGGTTAGTGTATTGAGAAACATTCCCGCTGTATCGATACATCGGGAGGTGAAAAATGTATTGCATCGCAATATATTTTATTACGATGCATACATCGAGGACAAGACAGATCGCGATGCATAGATGAATCGTTACACCTCTAATATTAAACAACTAAAGGGAACATTATTTTTTAAATATATTGATCATGATTGTATATATGCAAAGCGTCAGATAATACCAGATCAATTCCCTATGGCAAATATGCTTATTTTTTTTCAAATCTTTAAAAAAAATGCCAATGGAACTGAAATTTGCAATATCAAAACTGACATAGAGTTCATTCTTTTATGGTATCAGACAGATGTATTAAAAATCTTTAAATCCAAAAATGCTGATGAGATGCACCACTAGACATGGTACTACTAGATCATTCCTGTAAAGTTTTGATGAAATTGCACCTGTTGTTTCAAAGAAGTAGTCAAAATAAGTAGCTGGCAACACAAAGGGCCATTACTCAGCCAAATATCATCCAAGTGGAAAACCTGTGTAACATGGGCAAGTACTTCATTGAGCTCGTAACCAATCAGTCCTGTAAAGTTTCACTGAAATTGCATTAGTGGTATATGCGGAGCAGTCCTGACAAACTTTGATAATAAAAATGATTAAAAGGCCATCAATAAAAAAAACAGCGTACTTTTAATGGAAATTATGTAGGTAGGGTTGCGAACAAAAGCAAGAAAAATGGAACCATTTGAAATATTGATGACTGTTGAAATATTTTGGTTCTTTCAAATGAAATTGAGTACATCTTTGATACTAAATTTGTATAAAATTTCAACTTAAAAACGTAATCCCTGATCTATGGCTGTTGAATATTATTTTCGAGTGGGAATTTCTTCAGTTTTAAGGTGGAAAAAACACACTATTTTTATGGGAGAATGGTGCCCATATTTTACCAAACGAGAGCCCTGAACACTCTAATTTATGTGTACACAATGTCAAATATTTATCTTTGTAAAATCTATATTATGTCATTCTTGTTGTAAATTATTCTTAATACTTCTTATTGTAAATTTAAAAAACATCACTCCTCAATTAAAATGCACCCAACAGATAAAGATTAGTGTAATGTGAAGACTAAATTGAGGATGATATAAGATATTGCCATTTCTGACAAGTGGCATTCATGATTATTAAGAGGTTAATACACAGCAGGAGAGGGCCGGAAGGTGATAATCGGCCCGCAAAATGAATAATGGACCCGAGGGCTTTAGCCTCAGAGGGCTTTAGCCCGAGGGCCATTATTCATTCAGGGCTGATTATCACCTTCTGGCCCTACGCTGACATGTATTAATGTCTTGAATACACTTGGTAGATCTAATAGTAGCATTTAAAAAAACCAAAAAAAATAACAAAAACATAATCAAAACAAATAGACTTTGAAGTTCTTTCGTTGAAATTCTTGTCTACTCTTCTACTGTTCTGTACAGAGATGTTTTCTGTTTGTGTGTTCAAAGCAGTAGAACCAAGATGCAAGTTTTATTTTCATTTTTTTTGGAATGAATTTGTTGTATTATTTCTTAAAATTTCAATAGTAACAAAAATGTGTTTGTACTAAATAGTTAATACGCTTAAGGTCTCATAATAAAAATAAAGCGATTCGTGCTGACAACCTACTTTCACTTTTACAGTTAACTGTTGATGACGTTAAATGTGACGTCATTGTTTCAGTTTGTGCACGTGCACATGTTCTGCGGGCTGATAACTAGTTCTCGGCCCCGGGCCGCAAACTCATAATAGGTCACGTGACACTCATAATCAGTTGAAATCATAGGCAATTTTGTTACTATATATAGTAACAAGTGTATTAATGGAGATTAACTGTGCGTTTTCAAAAACAAATTATGAAAGGTACATTACAAGAGCCTACACATTTTAACATAAACAATTTGGGACTTGTGCCAAGTTTGATCAGTATTGAAGCATTTTTTATAGTTTCATAGCAGTATGAACTTGTAGCATGCGGCTTTTCAATGAAAACAGCCCGTTTTTCACAATATCATATGCTCATGTGGTAAAAGGTTAAATTAAGATTACATTATTAAAGACCACTCACTTGGGTAGTACATGTATAAAGGATATTCAGATAATATGAAAAGATATTAAAAGGTCAAAGTTAACAAACAATATGTACATGACGTAAAGCCGGTACGAACGCAAGCGCTAGTCATTATATTATAATCAAATATTTCACATAATCGGCCTATATACAGTATATATATAAACAGGGCCGGCAAAATCATTTATCTGTATTGCCCAGGTTGTCCCACAGCCTGTACGGACAAGTGAAAATTGTCAAGAATAAAGTATGTAAATATCATACGGACAAGTTAAAAAATGCTTCACATAAAAACAGACAAGTAGGTCAAAATCACAGGCACTAGACACAATTAATTCACCTCTATACGCTCATAATACTAGGCCTATATATATAATAATTATGCTTTATTTACCAAGAGTCGTGGGCATTTCTAAAAATAGATCAGTGACGTATGATGACGTCACAGGAACAAGCATTGAAATTACCCGAAAATGTTTAACTATTTGTTTTTTGCACTGTCATGATCTTTTATGCATCTATTAAGACTTATTTCTGATTATCTAGCTCATTTTATATAGAATCCATTTTGCATTCACATGCATTTTGCTTTTCCTTGAGTCGTGGCTAACATGTATATCAACAGTATTACAAGAAAACATTGGTCAAATCTCAGTGAACTATTTCAAGTTACCTTACCAATTTATTAAACATCATTATATGACTAGAGCCTCCTATCTTTAGCGATTTAGAGTCAGATTTGATTAATTTATTCGGTACCTAACAGTCCTCAATAAGATCTATTAAAGTTTGTAATCAAACTAAAATAAAACATCAGGGCAACTTTTATTTTGCCTTCAAAATCTTTTATACATTAACAAAATTGTAGCAGCAATTGCTAATGATATTTTAATGAAGCAATG